ACACAAACTATTGTAATTTCTGTAAAAGGGGAGACATACATATCCTTAAGAGCAGATTTGTGTTTCATATTGCATACTGGTTCTTTAAATATAAGCTCTAAAGGCTTGGGTTTAAAGGACTTGACATGCATGTTTTGATTCTTTAGTTATGAAGCAGCTTCCAGGCCACCTTTGTTCACTTTTCTGCTGGGGAAAACCACTATCCTTTTATGGAGATGTAAACTGGATTTTGGTGAAACATCTGAGCCAATGTGGTATGCTGCAAAGATATAGTGTCAAATGGACAACATGTGAGGCTAACATATTTCTCAATTTTAAAAACTAGTTTGATGAAGCTGCTGGGCTGAATATTTCTCCAAACAAAACATAATTTATGTGTGTGGACAGATGGTTTGCTTAGCTAACTGAGGAAAACTTTAAATATACAGGTAATCCTCGTTTAATGATGTTAATTGGGACCAAAAACTCTGTTGTTAAGTGGTGTGGTCATAAGCCGAAAAACCACATGACCACGCTGCTTAGCAACAACAGTTTTGTCAGTCCTGGTTGTTGTCATTAAGCAAGGACCAAGTGGGCCGTTAAGCGAGAACCTCATGTGATCATGACTTCCAACTTCCTGCTGGCTTCCCCATTGACTTTGCTTATAGGAAGCCGGCAGGGAAGGTCACAAATTGTGATCACATGACTGCTGTGATGGCCGTAAGTATGAGGTCCAGTCGTAACTACCACTCATTCAGCACCATCATAAGACTGAATGGTCACTGAATGACTGGTCATTAAACCAGGACCACCTGTATAGTGTCATCTTACACTCTGATGATTAAAATGACACTAAAGTGGTTCATTGTACATTACCAGGCTCAGATACTATGAGTTTTCAGACTGTTGCAAAGGGTTTTTGGGATAGAACTATTCTGAGAAGTGGAGAACCCCCAGGATTTCCCCATATTTTCACTCTGAGCACAAAGCTGGGAGCCCCTGATGATTGGAAGTAAGCACCACGTGCCAGTTGGGTGAGAGCTGAGTAGGTTTAGTGGGTATGTATGTATGTATGTATGTATGTATGTATGTATAGTGAATGAAGGAGTGTGCTGGTGGGGGCTGTTGCCCATTTTATATACAATAACCCTGGGCAACTCACAAGGACATAATGATAAAAAAAATAGAGCTAGCACTCAAACAACTCCCAGCTTCCCCCAAAAAACTCACCCACACATGAACATTCACATTTGCTGGGCTACAGTCTAACCTTAGAACAACCTTGGGGGAAGAACTGGTTCTTTATGGCTAGAAGGATAGGGGCCAGCTGGATTTCAAGAGGGTGGGTATTCCACAGTGTGGGGTCAGGTACAGAGAAGGCATGCTTCCTAGATGACAACATTTAAGGGAAAGGATGTCTGGAGTGCCCTTACCTTATCTGAACTAGTGGAACAGGCAGATACCCTCAAAGGGAGGGAGTCTTCCATATAAGCTCACCCCATACCATGTAGGGCTTTAAAGATGATAACCAGCACCTTGAATATGCCACTGCATTCTGGACAGTTATAACTTCTGGATGGTTTTGAAGGGCAGCCCCATGTAAACCATATTGCAGTAATCCAACTGGGAAGTGACCAAGGCATGAGTGACAGTAAGCAGGGCTTCATGGTCCAGGAATGGGCCCATGTGGTACATAAGATGAATTTGTGTAAAGCCCCTCTAGCCACAGCTGCCACCTGCTCCTTGAGCAGGTGCTGTGAGTCCAGAAGGACCCCCAAATTGTGCACCAGCTCTGTCCAAGGGGAGTGCTACCCCCTCAAGAATCAAAGATGACACTTCACCAGATCCAGGGGTGGTCAAAAACCCACAGCCACTCCATCTTGATAAGGCTGAGTTGGAGCTGGTTCCTCCCCAACCAGACCCTTACAGCCTCCAGGTACCAGGACAGCACTTGACTGGCATTGCCTGATTAGCCAGGTGTGGAGATATATAGCTGGGTATCATCAGTATACTGATGATACTGCACCCCTGTCATTGAATGGCCTCTCCCAGCAATTTCATGTAGATATTAAAAAATAATGGTGAGAGACCAAATCCCTGAGGCACCCCACATTGCAGGGTCCTAGGGTTAGGCTTCTCTCCCCCATCACCAGCAGCCACTGAGGAAAGAGAAAAACCACCACAAAACAGTGCCGCCCACTCCCAACCCCCAAAGCTGGTCCAGAAGGATACTATGCTCGATGGTATTGAAAGCTGCCAAGAAATCCAGAAGGGCCAGTATGGATGCACCACTATCCCAGGTTTTCCAGAGGTCATCCACAAGTATGACCAAGACCATCTTGGTACTGTAGCCCTGCCTGAACCCTGACTGAAAAGAATCTAGGTAAGCTGAGGACAGGGAAGGGGTCTCAGGGGGGCAGATGGTTAGAGGACAGTCAGGAACTTTGATGTGATGAAAGATAGGAGATATGGTGGGAGGTAGAGGTTGGACCACGCTCAGTGAATATGGACTTGATGTTTGGTACCTATGCCATGCTTTGGCCCCTTGTGCTGTCCCTCAATTCCTAGTCATTGAACCCCCCAGAGGCCCAGACTTTGGGCTGCTGCTATTAAGCACCAGGTCAGTCTGCAATAAAGCTACTTCATCTACTATCTGATTGTACATAAGAGGGATGCATTATTGAGATCTAGATGGGTGTGGAGGAATGGGGGGTTCCCTTTTGGAGCTGTGCCCACTTGGGATTTAGGTGTGGCATCAACCAAGAGCCCAGTGCAGGGCTGATGGAGTAGCTATGGTCATCTGGTCATCTGGTCATCTGGTCATCCCCATGACATTCAGAGACTCTACCCTACAAGCACCTGGATGTGAGATCCTGTTTGTTAAGTTGGGATCTAGGGAACAGTTGGGACTGTCGGGGCTGTATCAACCTCCTTGCTGCATAGCACCTTCATTGACTCATCTCCTTGACTTCATGTCTAGTTTGGCAGTAATCTTGACTAAAAAAGGAATCATGCCCCTGGCATGATGTCAGAAGGTCACACAATAATTTTCTAATTGTGCCCATTATGTTTGTTTAGGGTTTTTTTAACTTGATATCTTGGATTCCAAGATGTATGGCCAATGATAAAGGTCAGGAAATTTAACACACGCCCTGGATCATCATATGGTAACTGTAATTTAGGCCAGAAAAATCTAATGGTTTGCCCTTCCCATAAAACTTCCTAATAACTTATCAGTACGCTATTGTTATATATATTGAGATATATTGGGTTGAGAAAGAGTGCCTAGCACAAAGTCACCCAGTGGCTGAGGATAGACTCAAATCTGTAAGTCCTAGTCAAACAGCTTAATCAGTCCACTATACTGGCTTTCAAAGGCAGAGACAATCATTTAGACAGTTTATTTTGAGCCTTCAGGAAAGAGAAAAGGTACTTGTGGGATTTTCTACCACTAATGCTAATTGATCGTCCAGCCTTAGGTACCAAACGACTTTAAAGACAGCAGGGAGGTATTTTATTTGCTGCTCTACTTCACATTTTATAATGTTCTGTCCATCTGCATATTGGTAGATTTCCAGGACAAGAGTAGTGAACATCAGTTGACCCTAGCTTTGAACTAAAATTGATGTAGTATTCTAAAAATACAGAAACATGATAGTGGCAATCATTATAAATCTTCCCTTATTTGTACTGAACTATGTTGGATTCTAATCAAGACTTTTTCACTCAACAAAGAACATAAGAGGTGGAGTAAGCACTCCTTGGGTCCAGAGTCAGGTGTAAGTTCGTTTCATGTCAGCATGTATACCTGGGATTATTCTCTTTAGTGGGTTGAGGAAATATTTTCCAGGGACAAGCACCTTTCAGAAAGAACAGAGGAATACAACACCATATAACCAATAGTAGATGGTGGAAGCAAGAGAATATTAAAAAGAACTCTGCTTCTGTTTTATAGACTACTCCAAAGTATTCGATAGTGTTGATCATTCAATATTTTGGAAATCTCTCAAAGCAGTGGGTGTACCCCAACACCTGGTTCCTCTGATAAGAAATATCTACAATAACCAGGAAGCCACAGTGAGAAATAATTTAGTAACACAGAAGGGTTTACCATCAAAAAAGGAGTCAGACAGGCTGCATTCTTTTGTCATGCCTATTCAGTCTATACACTGACACATCATCTGAGTCACAGGTCTGGAAGAATTAAAGATTGGAGTCAAAATTGGAGGAAGGAAATGTCAATAATCTGAGATATGTGGTTGATGTTACTTGATTGAAGAAACTGAAGACGTAACAAAAAGATAGAACAAATATGAGCTATTCATAATTGTTGATTAATGCCCATTTATTCAATTGAAAAGATCCACTGGTTGTCTAAACTCAAGCACAGGAGTACTTCCAGTGCAAACAAAAATTCCTATTCATCTCTGTAGAGAGGTAGAAACTTTTGAGTAAAAAAACCTATGCATAAATATCTATTGGAGTGAATGGGGAATAATGAATGCACAAAAATTCCAAAAGTTCAATATTGAACTCTAATTCTTTCTTTAATAAAACTAAATTTGGTACATAAACTTGTGAATTCATCATTCCCAAGAAAAGGGGTACAAATATGCCTTTGTAGGAGTAAAAGGCCACAAATGTTCTACAAATATGTTCTGCCTGCAGACCTTACATACTATATGGTTCCCCTTAGGTTAATCTGGAGTGTGAAGATGTGTCTGATCCCACATGCTTCAAATTGGGAAATAGCTGAGAACAAATGTAATATAGTACAAGATCTTGATTTGTTTTAGAAAGCTTTGTTCCCTAATTTAGTTACTCTGATTCCTACACAGGGGGAAAAGACAGTGGTTATTATTGTTTTTAAATAATGGGAATTTATACTATCACTTTTGTCCCAAAATAAAGATGCATGGAAAAGGAGAAGAAATAAATATGATAGAGACACTATTTTGGTGTCAGTAACTGCTCAGAAATAGATACTTGAAACACAGACTTCCATTTATAGATGAGGGACAAAACATTTTATTTCAGAAAGAAACATCATAATTTTTGCATGAGCTATTCAGTATTTACATTCAGTGTAAATCTCCTGATGGTATAAGATTAAATATAGCAGTTGGTATAATTTAACATAGTAAAGGGCAAGACAAATGAAGATACCCAGAATGTTATGATAAAGCAGTATAAAAAGGTTGGTGTCTTGTTGATTCAATCTGTTTCTTTTCTGTGTAGGTGTTCCCACTCATTGCAGCTGATTCATCAAATCAGTGAAATTCCATGCATAGTTAAAAAGGATCAACCATTTGAAAACATATAGCAGTATGCTACCATATTGTGTCATGGGAACTAATGGTTCTCTGCAAGAGAGATTATCTGTAATAGAAAATTCTTAGTACTAAGCACTCTATATATTCCACGATTTCTTTGGGAACCACTTTTACTTTGTAAAGATGGTTAACTAATATAATATAATGAAGTCAGAAAAAAACAAGGTAAAATCTGCTGGCAGGGCCTTAGGATAATTTGCCTCCACCTTTTTAAGGCATAACAGTCACATTTTACATAATGGTTCTATGCAAGTGATAATTATCCTTTGAACTCTTATGTTTTTAATTAGTGTTCCTTGGAATATATTAACGGAATGAATATTTATACTATTTCAGAATGCTTGGAGCAAGTTAAATCTAACTAACTCTAAGGTTACAATCACCTGCGTTTTGCACAGTGAAAACAGTATTTCATTGGTTAAACCCCTGATCATGTTTGATCTAAAAACATAACTGTCATAAAATGTATGCAAGAAACAACAGGACTACACTGAACAGTTGTTTTGTTCTTGTACAATTCTCATTCAATTTGACGCAAAAATGTTTTGAAATTTATATCAAATGAAAACAAAATGGTCAAAATATGTGTATATGTGATTCTGAATAACTGATACTATGATGTGTGAATATCTCTCTAGCGCTCTGCAGTTTCACTTCCCAAACTTTGGTTAAATATTAAGGAAAGATATGCATAATATTCTTTTATGGGACTTTTTAACCACTTCAACAATAATGCCAGTTAAAAAAAAAAGAAATTTGAAACTACCAGAGAACAAGATAGGAAAGTGATAGCACAGAGCAAGAAAACTTGAGGAAACAGGTTGGCATATTTTGATACAGAACTCCTTCTGAAGAGAATAGCACCTTACAGCACTGAAAATCTTGGTACTAATTAGCCAGTTGAGGATGATGGAATAAACTGTCCAGCTGGCTATAGAACAATATAATCTGCAATCTATTTCTGTAATAAAGAATTATTTTAAGCTAGGTCAGCTTAAAGACTTCACACGGACACACACTAAACATATTTAGAGGTAAAAAGGGAGCACAGAGGCAAGAAGGCTAAATAAGAGATATAAAATAAGCCATATAATCTAAAAAAGAAAACTGATGGAATATAGGGCATCAGAAAAGGAGCTAAAGGAAATTGAGGTACACATTCTAAACAATAAAGAGAATTCAAAAGAGAATTTCTCTTTGTCTGAGAAACTGATGAACAAACAGAATGATTGCAGAATATTGGCAGTGAGGAAGTTTCTCTTCATATGCAAGGATTTTCACATGAGTTTGATCTCTGCTAGACAGGGTTATTTTTCTTATGGAAGTCTTTGTATATAGATGCAAATTCTTTTTGCTGGTGACATCTTTGTTGAAAGCATGGGTGACTTTGAAAGTTAAGTACCCCTTGGAAGGGGAGAGGATCATCATCCCCGCACGAATTGTGATTTTTAATCTTTTTTTTTTTTGCCTGAACAGGGCTCTAGGATGGCCTAAATGATGTTCAGAGGAATTCTGACAGGAAGGTCTTCTACTCGTATTGCAATATTCTGACATAACAACTGTAATGCAAAGATACAGTATTTTGGCTTGGTGACCGTAAAGGGAAAATGTGAGCCAGAAGGAAGAGGTGGTAGCACTGGAGCTATACTGAATCAACCAATGAATATTGATGCCAGTTATTATCACATACTTATCAAAACAAGTAAACATTCAAACAAAGAAATATTTTAACATTGCATTAAATATAGACTTATTTGGATGGCATATATGTTTATAAATTTAACAACATACTTCTAATTACAAGAGTGAATTTAGTGAGTTTACTAAATGTTAGAGCTGAATTTAAATGTCAACATGAGGTCCATCATTTTCACTGGGAAAAAAACAGAACCCCTTCTATATATGTATTTTAATTAAGCAAGTATTTGCAACTATCGTAACAACTATTTATTTCAGAACAGTCTCAGTGAAATTAATAGTCAGAGAGTTGCAACTTTTGTCATAAGTGTAGTTTTCTCTCCAACAGTTTTATTCCCAATAAAATCAAACAAATAGAGGGAAATCTACTATGGTTGATTTCAGCTGATGTCAAATGCAACTAGGCTGGTAGAAGAGGGTTTCCCCATTGATCCTTTCAACAGGAACATAACCAGCCTTTCAAAAATACTTCACAAAGATATGGGATCCTGCTGAATAGGTGGAGCAAGGGAGCAAGTGGGCTTAAGGGAACAGAGTGCTCCCTGGAAAGGAACACAATGGCTTCTGAAAGCAAAACTATGCCCACAGAAGGTACCTCTATTTTGGTTTTTAGGGATTATCCCTGTTCCCCACACCCAAACTCATCCTTTTCAGAATAATCCTGCAATCTCGATACACCATTTTCAGGTAACTGGAGATTAGCATAGGAAGAGTAGGTAAAAGAAGTCTAATTTGCACTTATATCTGAATACATGCAATCCAGGAGTTAAAAGATGCTTTTATAAAACAAAAACACCTTAGCAATATGTATTTTTAAAATGTGAAGTCTGATAATTAATTCTCATATGTTTGAGGTTTGTCAGAATAAATGTATAAATATAAATAAGCCCATAAGCCTAAGATTTACATTCAGCCAAGTATATAAGATTACAACATAAATGTATCAAGAACTTTTACATCAGTGTGTGTCTTACTTCCATGAATGCAGACTCATTCATTCATTGGATACACTTTGGCTCCATGAGCATTAATGTAGGTGAGAAGTATTTTGGCTCTCTGCTCTACAACATCAATCAACTTTTCAATGCCTTGGCGCCCTCCTTGGCTATCCCAAAAAATTCTGTCCAGGAACAAAGATTGAAGAAGCTTTTCCCGCAAGTGGTGACTTTTCAGCATAGAAATAGCAGATTCAGGGAACCTGAAATTGAATAAACCCATGTAATTAAATCTAAGTTCCATATTGCTATTTCACTTGCAGTAGTGAACTTATGACCATAAATAAATAAGGCAAGTTTAGGGCAGTCTATAAAATGCAGATAAATCTAATGGGGAATGAGAAACTAGGAATAAAATGGTGAAATCAGCAAAAGAGTTCCTGATTCAAAAAAACAGAGCAAGAATAAACACAGGTAGAAGGTTTAAATAGCACTTTGTAGAAAAGTCTGCCATCAGAAAGTCATATAGACAGGAAAGGACAGTAACTAAACATAATACATAGGGACGCATCAGGGAAAAGATCTGGCAAGGGTAACCAAGTCTTCTGGTGTCTATGAATTTCAAGACACTCAACCTCTCTTCATACATTAAATGTCACACAAGTCTTTGATCTATATCCTGATGCCCATACATATTTAAAAGTTCTTGAAGGTTTCCATGCAAGCCGGAATACTAATTATTCTGAATAGTTATTGAGAATCAAGGAGGTCCATATCACAGCCACATGGTTTACTATCTCTGCTACAAAGGCAGCTCATATATATTTTATAAATACATAGAGTGGTTTTTTTTTCATTGTAAACAAATTATATGAAAGATATTTTAAATCTGAAATAACTTTACTAGAAAATGAACTTACTCATTAATGCCTTGTAATATTTTGAAATCCAGATTATCTTCACTTCTGTCAAAGAAACCTTTATTATGTATAAAGACCAAATGCCTTGGGTCATCCTTTCTCTGGATAATGTGGGTCAAGGCTATGTTGTCTGGGTCATCGCATTGCAGATTCAGCCCTTTTTGTACACAGGAATCCTCTTTACGTGGTTTGAATCCACAACAGTTCTTATCCAAGCGATGGTAGATCTGAAATTGAATAAAGTTTCATGACCAGCATGAATCATGGATTCATATAAAATGGTTACTTTTTAGGTTTATGGGGTGCCACTAAAATGCATATAGACATGCATCATCACAACTGTAGATCTATAAAAAAACATTAAGGTGAAACTATTAATCATATGGCCACAGCAGAGGTAGCTTAATGCTGTATTCATCTGCCCCAGTTTTAAAATAGTGATTTCCCTCTTTTTTCCACATTTCTTTTCCCCATGGACAGTGTCTACAATGCTTCCTCAACAATATGAATAATGATGTGGTCAGTGGCTGGGTTCTGCCCAAATCTTATTTGCTTCCTCAGGTCACTGAGGGCACACACCCTACACTCCAGTCACTCCTACTCTTTCTGACTTCAGAAAGGACCACTCAGGTGTTACATAAATAACCTTAGAGATATCAATTTAACACCTTTTTTTAAGTACTAGACTGATTTTTAAACACAGGCTAAGCACTTTTTCTATGCTGCAGAGAAGGTCAGTTTAAACTGGGAAAGACAGCCAGTTTCTGCCAGCTACATGCTTCTGTTTCTGACTCAAATGAGTGCATTACAGATTTTCTGCTGCTCATGCCCACAAATAATTTTATATAGTCATACTTTTTTGCCTACTCCATGGACTATTTCTTAACATTGCAGACCACAAGGTCAGAACTAGAATCTTTGGACACTTACCTCCACTACTGCCATTTGAAGCAAATCCCAAAAGAGACACAGTCTATTAATATGTTTAATTACACATATACATTTCTGACAGTGCAAATAAGTCCTGAATTCCAGTCAGAAGTAACCCAACTAACAGGTCACATGGCAGAGAGGTATTTTGTAAAGCAGGAAGGAGTGCCCAGGACAGGTCAAAAGCACCTCTGCACTGTGACCTGTTACTTGGATAACTTGAATAATAGCTAAAATGTCTATCCCAGGTACTTCCTACACTCAGTCAAGCCCACCAGAACATGTGAAGGAAAGTAATTAGTGGCTAGTGGCAAGTGAAGTTTAGTGGGAAGGGAAACAAAGCCACACAAATCCAACAACTGTTTTCCTTAACTTGTCACAGATTGTTCACCACTGATTTAACTTCTCTTATAAAGTTTAATCTTACGTCTCGTTACCATTTCTTTTGTAACAACCACTAGTGTTTCTAATAAAATTGGTTTACTCATTTGAAAAAAATGGGCCGCTGAACAACTTATATACTCTCAATATGTCTCTTTGGACATAATTTCTCACCTGTAACAGAAAATCAAGAAGTGCCATCTTGGACCATTCCTGGTGATGGATATCTGTGCATCCCCATTCTGTTTTGGGTACTTTGCCATTTTGCCAGCACTTTTCCTTTAGTTGTTTCTTGTAAGCTCCCCAGGTGAGTCTCAGTGAAGACTGTGTCTCATTGTCTGTCTGAGCCAAGGAGGGATCCCAAAGAATGACAGGGCGTGGTCCATCATCTCAAAAAAAGAATTCAAATATTAAAGAGAACCAGTAGTACAATTTAGGCTGAGTGCCTAAGATTTATAATCCTTGGCTATTTTTTAGATATTACCTAGAATTGAAGTAGTTAAAAACAGATGTTAGTAAAGGGGTATATTGTAGATGTGGTAGGAAAAAAACAAACTGGCAATAATTTTACTTTCATTAGTTAACGTGGTTTTACTCCACATCTAAAGAAGCCACTCCAGTCAGGGAAGAACCCCAGACATTTTAATTGTTTCCAATAACAGCTAGCTTCTAGCTACAAAAGTGCTCTGCTTAAAAAGCACTCTGATGCTTGAGAAGATTTATTAATGAGATTAGAAGTAGCTTGGCCGATTAGCTTCTGATGTAAATCTATGTAGCTTATTCAAATATTGCAAAATAATGTAGTTATTTATTGATATATGTATGACCAAGCAGTGAATTTCAGCCTATAATGAACAGGTTTATATTCCTATCTTGATTGGTTTAGTTTTTAATAATGGATGGAATCCTAACTAAAAGAGATGCATGAAGTGTGTGTGGCTGTACTGCTTCCCAAAGAGGAAACAACAGTGAGAATGTGCAAAATCAAAACTGTTTGTATCTGAATAATTAGTTTGCAGAAGGGTCATGCTTAATTCCAAACACATTATTTTAAAGAGGTTGCTTGAAGCAACATTGGTGTAAAGTAGCTGTGCCTTCTCCTGATATCAAGCAACACTTAAAGTGCCACAAATGGGTGCTACATTCACATTCCTGCACAACCCAAAGCACCCTTCAGAGAACAGATCCAAAGTGCTGCAAAGCCCTAATCTCTGTATGTCATGAGGTGAATACAGGTAGTCCTCACTTAACAACCATTCATTTAATGACCATTCAAAGTTACAACGGTGCTGAACAAAAGGACTTGCAACTGGTCCTTGTACTTACAACCATTGCAGCACTCCTGTGTCACGTAATCCATGCACTTGGCAACCAGCTCGCACTTATGATGATTGCAGCATCCCGGGGTCACATGATCACCATTTTCAACCTTCCCAGCTGGCTTACAGCAAGCAAAGTCAATGGGAAACTGTGTGATTTGCTTAACAACTGTGTGATTAATTTAACGGCCACAGTGATTCATTTAATGACTGCTGCAAAAAAGGTTCTAAAAGCAGGTGTGACTCGCTTAACAATTGCCCCACTGAACAACAAATTTTCCGGTCCCTACTGTGGTTGTTAAGTGAGGACTATCTGTATGATAAACATCTGCATGCCATAGAAGAAGAAAATAATAATAATAACAACAACAACAATAATAGAAATAGAAATAGACTGACTATGGCAAAAGAAAGCAGAGATGGTACCAATAGTAATAGGCGCCTTGGTGCAATCCCAAAACATCTGGAGCACCACTTGAACACCATTGGCATTGACAAAATCACCATCAGTCAATTGCAAAAGGCAGCTTTACTTGGAACAGCCTTATATCCTGCGATGATACCTTCAACACTGTCAAACAACAACATCTGCCTATCCCAGGTCCTTGGGAAGGACTCGATAGTGGATAAAAATGCCAAATCCATCTGGCTGGCTGTGCGACCAGCAATAATAATTGAACATACCAGCTTGTCAAGAAAGAGAAGAAAAGGAAATACCTACTTTGGTCAGTAAAAGAAGGATGTGGAAGAGAAATTCACTGTTTCCTCCACTTACCTTCCCATTTTGCTGCTTCATAACTTTACCCCAGTCCCCCAGGTAACACATTTTCAGTGTCACCCTGTCTTGGTTGAAGGACAGAATTAAAATAGCAGAGGGCTGATAGGAATGTGAATAGGGATTGGGGGAGGTCATTTTAGTTGCATTTGAATGCAAATTTATATAATGCATTTTTTATCCAATACATAAACTGAAATCCAATTATCCTATATTGGCAATTCTCTGAGTTCATAGTGTTCAAACACATACATTTTAATGCAACTTCATTTAAAAGGAGAAAATATCTTAAACTTGGATGGGAATGGGACAACCAAATTTTAGAAACTGATATATAGTAAGCTGTACTGACAAACTGGCAAACATGAGAAATTGAGAGAAATAAAAATGGCCAGGTTTGCCCATCCCTGATGGCGAGAGGAGATGCAGGTTTTGCTCTTGCCTCATATATGCTCCTGTACCGTAGTGCTAAAAAAACAGCTATCTCTGCTTTCTGCTTTATTTAGACCAGCGATCTTATATTAACACACACACTGTGATTGCTTCTCCCTCACAGTTCTTTTTTCCCTCCTGCAAATCAAAGGTATGTGGCATTCTTATTAATATTCTCAGCACATACATCCATTCTTGCTTTACAAATGCTGATTTCTCCTGCGCAGCCTTTCCTGTTTTCCTATTTTTCTGCTTCCTCCCATGCATTCTAGATAAAGGGAAAGGGAAGGAAGACTAGGATAATTAATGTGTTATTTTTAACCCTCAAAAATTCCATTTGAAAAATGGAGTGAAGGTGAAGTGCAGGAAATGAGTGTCATTCATGGGAAACAGACTTTGCAAATTCAGTCTACCACAACAATGCACATTTCAAAACCTTCACTAAAACAGGCTCCATTGCAACTATGGGCTCTACCCCCTTGCCCCCCCCCCCATCCAGTAATCCCACCAATCTTATTATTCAGCATAAACAGAGAGGATCTAAAAAGAACCAGTTCCAGCCCCCTGCTCTAATGGAGGTCTGCTCCAGATGAAACCATGTCTGCATCCCACATTAAATTCCAAATGATCTCTAAATTGATGTGAATGAACAACTGAAGAGAACAAAGGGAACTTAGAAGTAAAAGTATTCTAAAAGAATTAACACATAGAAAACTACTAGCTAATTTCCAGATCAAAGAATATCAAAATTGTAATGAAATATACCCAGAGCTTGAGGCAAACATATTAAATCCTGGGTGGATAAACTTTTTGCAGCCAGGAGCCCCATCTTTTCATTTGTTCATTTATTTTGATCTCCAGGGGATAAAAGCATGGCAGCCATACAGTGACTTCATTGGAGGATCAAAACCAATATATTAAACTCTCTTCTGGCTTGGGAGATAGGGTCCCCCTACCCCCCAAATAAAATAGTACATTAAGTTACTTCACTTTTTATTTCTGTAAAAAAAGTTTCTGTCTAATTTTGGCAGAAAAAACTGGGATTGGGCTCAGACAAAAATACATAGGGCTACATGTGCAGCCAGGGAATCCTGAATTGCCCATCTCTACTTTAGAGGTCCCCTCGCCCGCTCTTCTCAATGGGAACCATCTGTCTCCTGCCAGCCATGCTATAAGAAGGGCGACAATTCAGTTGTCTGCCAGTTGAGAGTCCCTGGAACTAAGGACAAAAAGTAAGTGCTTTTATTGCACTGAGGGAAACAGTAAAGGAGGAATTCTGTCCTATCCTAAACATCTCTTCTCTCCAACATTTCCATACACAAAAGTACATCTTTTTTTATCCCATGCAAGCCTGGTCCTAGACTTTATCTTTGAAATAGCTATGCAGGAATGGGATCTTACATTACAGTTAATTTCAGCAGTAGCCAACAAGAAATGGAGCCAAAAAGGTCCTTCGTAGGCTCTGAGAGACGGGTGAGTGTGGGGAAAGGTGAGCATGCAGAGTTAAGCAGCAAATGTCTTGGAGTGGCTAGTTTGGAGATAAATACAGCATTGGTGAAATACCGGCTATTTTTACTTATGAAGGTTTCTGTCTCCATAGCAACTTAGTGCCTTGCCTACACTTTCTAATATTAGAACTGCAAATTTGGTATATTCTGCTACACAGTACAGCTTGTTGGAGGAAAATGACTTTGAGACAACTCCCATCTGGTTTTTATTAAAAGTGCCATAAAGATTCTGATCTCCAAACTGTCTTCTGTTCTATTGGTTTAATGGTTCATTATACACAGATCTCATTTAAACCTGATTAGGAAATTGCAAAAGAATTCAAAAGTGAAATTTATCTATGGAAGTCCAAAACGTACATCAATAGGTAGAAATGCTGGACAAAACAAACTGCTTTGTTTTTTTATATCTTTAACCTTTTGGAAGTGTGTCTTAGTACTTGTTTTGGTAAACAATCCATACATATTTTTATATGCAATTTTCCCTAGTGAATGCATTTTTTATGCAGTTAAAGTGTTGCATGAGGACTGCTGAGGCCGACTCAAGTGCACTCTCAACCATGGAAGCTGAATTCTCTGTCAGCCCAGCCTGCTTTTAGCACCTGGAGAAAATGCAAGGTATAAATTTAACCAACAAATTTAACCAACAAATCCTGAATGCACTTTTGAAAATCAGAAAGCTGTATTACATAACATGGAGTGGGAAAAGTTAATTACTTTTTTTGTAGTGCTTTAATTTAGGCCAATTCACATTCAAGTATGAAGCAAACGTATCCTTTATACTAATGCAATAGCAATGAATTGGACAGATTTTGGTAGCAACATACAGTACATAAAGTAAAAACCCAAGATGAACCTAAAAGCAATTACCTAACTCCCACAGTTAGGTAATTCATCTCATGCTGGATCAGACAGATAAGAAATTGTTAATGCAATATAGACAAGTCAGCTTCTCTGACACTGACAGATCTAGAACCCAAAAATGTAATATGATCTCCAAAAAAATAACACTAACATTCCAAATTATCAAAATAACAAAAGACAAATTTCACCCATTGGACTATTTGACTTTTTCTAAAACTGGAAAGAGGGAGTAGGAATTTCTGTGAAGTTAAGTACTGTACCATACTCTGATTATAAAGTCCCTCTCATTTTTGCCAGAGTGAGCAGTAAAAATACTCCCAGGTGAACTCCAGTCAGGCTTACCCAATTGCTCCCTTTCAGCCTGTCAATAAGGAATGGATGGAGTCAGTATAACTGGTTTGGAGACAAAGTGCCTTCTACAAAAGGCCCAAGATGCTGGGTATGACCATGGATCAAAGCCCTGCCCTTTTGTATGACATTGACACAAAGTGGTG